ATATTAAGACTGGAGTGCTAAATAAAGTGGCAGATGCTTTAAGTAGAAAATCTCATCTTTTGATAACTGTGTATACAACCATAACTTTGATTTCTTAAAAGACACTTATGCTAATGATCCAGATTTTATGCTAATGATCCAGATTTTAAGGATATTTGAGAATCTTGTCTCACTTCTGAAACTGATCAATCTTATCATTCAACAAGGTTTTTTGTTCAAAGGTTCTAGACTCTGCATCAACCATCCAGCTCCAGTTCAGCCGCTGGTCACCTCTTACCCTTGCTATCACCAATCGGTAACAACTACATGGAGTATTCCAGAGCCTTTCCATTGGTCACCGGCTGCCACAAACCCTGTAAATAGAACAATTGGATTGCTGACATGGCTGATTTCAGCAATCCACAGACAAAAGAGCAGGGGCATTTGCTCTCCCATACCAGAAACCAGTTTTTGCTGGTTGTGTTTGGCATTCCAGAAATCAAAAACACAAAATCGGCTGTCGTTCATTGCAGGAGAAGTCAGAAAGCTGGATTTGATTGCTAGGATCGGCAAGGAGAGAGTCCAAATCAGAGATGAAAAGTCAGCTACAGCAGGAAATAATGCTCAAGGTAACTTTAATTGATTGATAGATCATTAGAAACATATAAAAATATTCTTAAAACCCTTCCGAATCCATTCTATTCTCTTATTGTAAACAAGTGTCATAACTTGAAGAGGTTAGCATCATATCACTTATTTGACATCAAGGTGGGAAGTGGAATTTAAATAAAATTAAATTATGAAAACCAGGTAGGGGTGTGTAACTTTCTTAGTCCAACAACAACAACCAATAAAATCAAGCCTTTATCCCAATAAGGGGTCGACTATATGAATCTTTTTTCTCCATTGTGTCCTGTTAAAAGTCAAATTCTCATTTAAATCTAATAAAGGTCATTTCTAATATTTTTTAACCAAGTCTTTTTAGGTCTATCTCTATCTTTCTAAACATAGGTCAAATCTAATACATCTACTCTCCTAATTGGTTCATCGGAATATGGTTTAAAATTGTGCAACAAGAGGTGCACGTCAAGGAGCGCCTCAGCGCAATTTTAAACTTTTAAGCCTCAAAGCCTACGCAATGAGAGCTGGCATTGAGGCGTACAACTCAAGTTCACTGAGGCGCGCCTCAAGGCGCGCTTTGCCTCATGTTTTAGAGGCGTGCGCCTCTTAAAATAATAATAAAAAAAAATCCTAACCTAATTACATGCATTTTGCAGCTCGGTATCACTATGTACCACTAGGTATATGCTCGGCACCACTCGGTACAACAATACTTAGTACCACTAGGTACATGCTCGGTACCGCATGGTACATGCCGGTACCACTTGGTACATGCTCAGTACCACTCGGTATCTTTCCATACAAACGACTAACGAACTTTAAAAATAAGAAGAACTTCAAAATTACTCTTGCAATAAAAATTTGTTTGACCTAGCGACCTGATCGGGCAGGTCGAACCCCTCCAGGGGGCAGCGTCCCCTTTGACCCTCGGATACCCGGCATATTGTTGTATTCATCATCTTTAGTAATAGTTGTTAGTGTTAGTCTACTTCTTCATGAATGTATATTGTATAAGTTTTCTTAATGTAGAATAAATAAAGCATTATGTTTAGGAGTTTGATATATTGTACTAATATATTCTTCTAATAAAGGATGGTCAGAAGTAAGGATAAAGCTACATCAGGTCATAGAAAAGATGCAGAATGAAAACATAGCACTCATGTGGATGTAGGAGGAAGTGCTGAAACATATATCTATCTAAAATGCAATTATTGTGACAAAGTTGTGAAGGAATATTTTGATTTCACTTCATATCTTGTGCATTTTTATGTTTTATATTTTTTACTTATTAGTATATAAAAAAATTATCATTTTATGTTTACGCAATCTTTTGATTTTGAGGCTTACGTCTCAAAACGCCTTGAGGCTTATGCCTCGCCTCACGAACGAAAAAAGCCTCAATACCCGATTATGCAATTTTAAACATTGATCAGAAGGCTGCCATTTTATGTGACTAAACCATCTAAGGCGACTCTCTCTAATCTTATATGCCACTAGAGCTACTCCAACCTTTTCACGAATATGCTCATTTCGTATCTAGTCTCTAAGAGTAAAGACACTCATCCACCTGAGCATCATCATCTCTGGAATACTTAACTTAATAGTATGCTTCTCTTTTAATGACCAATATTCTGCACCATAAAGTATTGCAAGTCTCACCATTATTTTATAAAACTTTCCCTCAAGTTTTAGGTGTAGTTTTCTATCACACAACACGCCCAATGCATTCCTCCACTTCAACCATCCAACTTGAATTCTACTAATAATATCCCCATCTATTTCACCAATGTTTTGAAGAATAGACCCGAGATATCTAAAGCATGCACTCTTTTTAATGCCTTGATCACCTAATCTCACAATCCCACTACTAGATCTATTTACTAAAATTACAGTCCATGTATTCGGTTATAGATTTACTCGAACAAAAACCTTTATACTCTAAGTTCATTTCCATAATTCAAATCTTTCTTTAATTACCCCTCTAGTCTTATCAACAAGAAGAAATACCATCAACAAAAAACATAAACTAAGGTACATCCTCTTGCAAATGTCTAATAAGAACATCCATAACTAAAGCAAAAAAAAAGAGCTTAAAGCTAATCCTTGACGTAATTTTACTGAAATAAGAAACTACTTGGTCAAACCACCTTGCGTTTGAACACAAGCACAGCTCCTGCATACATATCCTTAATGACTCGAATATAAGCATTATTAACCCCTTTCTTTTCTAGAACTCTCCATAGTACTTCTCTTAGAACTTTATCATATGCTTTCTCTAAATCAATAAAAATCATATGTAGATCCTCCTTATTCTCTCTATACTTCTCCATCAAATCTCTCAATAAATATATAACTTCCATAGCAGACCTACCGACATGAATCCAAATTGATTTTGAGAAACATTAGTATCACGACGTAACCTATGCTCCATAACTCTCTCCCAAAGTTTTATAGTATGACACATCAACTTAATTCCTATATAATTCACACAATTTTCTGCATCACATTTATTATTTAAAACAAGAATCAACACACTCATTCTCCTCTCATTTGACATCTTTTTAGTCTTCAAAATAATATTAAAAAGTTTAATAAAACCTGAAATTCCTTCATCTCCAAAGTATTTTCACACCTCTATTGGAATATTATCAAGTCCAACAATTTTTCCATATTTCATTTTTTTAAAGCCTCTCTAACTTCAGTTTTACTGACACACCGATGAAAAAAAAAATATCTATTTTCATTTAGAGTGCTAAGGTCACTAAAGTCAATCGTATTTTCACAATCTTCATTATAAAACTTAGCAAAATATCTCATCGACCTTTGTTGAATATCCTCTTATAAAGAAAAATACTTTATGATTTTCATATTTAATGCACTTATTACTCTTATCTCTTTGCTTGGCTAACATATACATATATCTTTTGCCCTTTTTAGTATCTAATCTATTGTATAAATCATTAAAAGCAAAAAAAAAACTTTGCATTGCATATTACTTTTTAGACTCCTTACAGATATCTTTATATCTTACCCAATTTTCAGAGTTTTTACATCTAAACCAATTTTTATAAAGCTTTTTTATTTTAAATCTTTACTTGCACATTTTAATTCCACAACAAACTATTTTTATTATTATGAGCTTTTCCTTTTGAAACTCCAAGCATATCTTTTACAACATTCTTAATATTACTAGCTACTTTTTCCAACATAACATTAGCTACCTCATGTGTAAACAAAATCTTAAGATATCAAATTTTACTCTTAAAAATATTTTTGTTGGCATTCTTTAAATGCCCCCATCAAATCCTAGAATAACGTTTTATTTTATTTTTCATATTCTGCCTCTTTATCTTAAAGTCCAAAACTAATAAGTGATGTTTGATACATAAATTTTCACTAATAATCACTTTATAATCTTTGAAATCTAAACGACTATTTTTTCTTATAAGAAAATAATTAATCTGAGTTTACTATATCCATTCTTATAGTGATTATTTGCTTATCTTTTTTCTTAAATAAAGTAACCATTAAAAAGCGGACGAGGCGTCCGCATTGAGTTGCGACTCAAGTCGAGGCAGAAGTCATGCGTATTGGGGCTTATGCCTCGAACCATCCAGCGAAGCCTACGATTTTTTCACATGAGGCGTACGCATTAGAGTGTAACGCCTTGAGGCAGTATGAGGCACTGCCTCGAAATTTTTTCTTCGATATATATGTAAATACGACGCAGCCAATTCATGTTTGTGTATTCGCGTATAGGATTAAGGCTTCCTGTGAGAATTGAAAAGCGAACTAGAGGAGAAGCCGTGAGGAAAAGAGACGAAGCCGTGAGGGAAGGAGACGAAGCCGGGAGGAGACGACGCAGGGAAAGAAACGAAGTCGAAGTTGTGAGTGCAGGAAAAGTTCAGGCATCGGTTAGGTCGGAAGAGTAGGTACGCGGTGTTGCGGCATTGACTTTGACGTGCAGTAAAGAAAGCTTGAATAACTCCTGATTCGGCTTTCTTTCATTCGTCCGCTCAGTACATGCTCGGTACCGAGCAGGTACAAGCTCGGTACCGCTCAGTACATGCTCGGTACCGAGCAAGTACATACTCGGTACTTAGCGGTACACGCTCGGTATCGAGCAAGTACACGCTCGGTACCGAGCCAGTACATGCTCGGTACTGAGCGGCACATGCTCGGTACTGAGCAGTACATGCTCGGTACGCACGATCAGGTCGAACCCCGCCAGGGGGCAGCGCCCCATTGGACCCCCGGCAAAATGGTATATTTTTGTATTCATGTTGTTTTATTATTGGTATTACAAATAATTGTTAAAATATGTCCTATTGTTAGCATGACTAGTGGCACAAGAAAGAAAGATCCTGCATGGAAATATGGAACTCAATTGTTTGTATGCATGTATGGACAGACTCATTTCTGAAGAAGACTACCTCAAAGTGAATAATCAACTTGAGGATTTTCATTTGAAGAACGGAATGTTTGGATTTAGAGCAGCACAAGCATGCTACAAAACACGATCTCCTGGTATGTTTTTAGTTTGAGTATTTATAATTTTAATGTTTATATTTATATTCAAGTCTTCTACTTCAACAAATATTCATAAAATACTATGTTTGTCTTCATGTAGAGCATTGGTGGGTTCAGTTTGTAGATGATGTTCCTGAATTGAAAGCTTTTGCAGTTAAAGTTCTTAGCCTACCGTGTTCGACTTCTGCATGCGAGCGTAATTGGAGTATCTTCAATCAAATTCATACAAAAAGAAGAAATTAATTGGCGGCAGATCGAATGAACAAACTAGTTTATGTTATATTTAACAAAAAACTGAAAGGCTCTGTTTAAAATTGCGCAACGAGAGGCGCGCCTTTGCGCAATTCTTCCCAAAGGCGCCTCGAGGCGCACGCAATTTGGAGCCTGGAAGAGGCATACGCCTCACCTTGTGTGAGTCGCGCCTCAATTGCGCAATAATGGGTGAGGCGTATGCCTCACCCGTTGGCCCCACCCTACTTAAAATGACTCTTTTTTTCCCTTAACCCGTTCGGCCCAGGCATTTCCCAATAAACTCCGTCCGCAAGCCCCAGTTTGTGCAACAGAGCCCCTCCCGCACGGTCGGCCACCCTTCCCGCCGCCTCTCCCGCCGGCGTCGCCTCTCCGGTGAACTTGAAGTGTCCGGCCGCCTTGTAGGAGAAGTCTACAAACGATTTTAGGTATTTTTTTTTAGTTTTTGGTTAGATTTTTGAAGTGAAAGAAATTCTAGGGTTTTATATTTTTTGAATTATTTTGAGTGATTTTCGATTCTTTCATTAGGGATCATGGTTAGAGGCAAGGAAAATGCGTCTTCGTCATTGCGTAGGGACCCTTCTTGGAAATATAGTGTACAAGTTGACATTGACGGCGGAGATAAGAGCTATGTTTATTTGAAATGTAATTTTTGCAATAAAGTGGTGACAGGAGGTGTTACCCGCATGAAGGAACACCTATCATGCTCGCACAAAAACGTAGCAGCCTGTGCAAATGTGCCGAAAAAGGTGAAGGAGGAAATTATTTCTTATATGAAGAAAAGTACCACGGCTAAACACTTGCAACAGGAGCAATTTGATGATAGGGTCGAACATGGCGCTTATTTTGGGAGCGAGAGTGGAAAGGGCTCTTCCTCCACCATACATAACAGAGGTGCACGGGGTCCTATAGATCAGTATATGACTACTCCAAAAGAGGATAGAGGACAAGCACAAATGATGCCTGCGGCCGGTACTAGAGAGGGACGACGCCAGGTTTGCATGGATATTGGGAGTTTTTTTTTAAACGCCATACCTTTTAATGTTGTTATGTCGCCTGCCTACTTCAGTATGTTGCGGTCTGTAGTATTGTATGGAAGAGGGTTGAAGGCACCTTCCATGTATGAGTTGCGAACATGGATTTCAAAAGAGGAGCTGCAGAACACAGAGCGGAGCATTCAGGAGACTAAAAGAACATGGATTGAGACTGGTGTGACCATTATGTCAGATGGATGGTCTGACATGAAGAGTAGGAGCTTGATTAACATCCTTGTCAACAATCCCTATGGCACGGTGTTCTTACGATCAGTTTAAGCTTCAGATGAGGTGAAAAATGCTACATTTATTTTCAATTTACTTGATGGGGTTATTGAGGAGATTGAGGAGCAATTGGTTGTCCAGGTAGTGACTGATAATACCAGTGCATACAAAGTAGCTGGTCAGATGTTGATGGAGAATAGGACACACCTATATTGGACACCCTGCGCAGCACCTTGTATCGATCTCATTTTGGAGGATCTTGGTGACTTACCTCAGCACAAGAGTGCTCTTTCTAGGGCGAAGAAGATTACAAAGTTCATCTACAATCACTCTTGGGTCTTAAGCTTGATGAGAAAGTTTTCAAAGAAAGAAATCATTTGCCCTGTAACCACTAGGTATGTTCTTAATTTTGTACATTGCAAATCATTCCTACTGTATGTTCATAGTTCTTACATTTGTGCACTGTGAATCTATAGGTTTGCCACCTCCTATTTGACACTGCAAAGCTTGATGAAGGTGAGACAACCTTTGGAAGCCATGTTTACATCAACAAAATGGCTTAACTCTGCTTGGGGGAAGAAAAGTGAGGGGAAGAAAATAAGAAAGATAATTCTGAATGATAAACTTTGGGCTACTGTGACCTATGCCATTTTGAGCACGAGACCCTTAGTGCAAGTTCTACGCTTAGTAGATGCAGAAGAAACCAGCTATGGGTTTTATTTATAATGCTATGGATGAGGCCAAGGAGTTGATTAAACACAACTTGGGAGGAGAGGAGGCAAGTTCTAGGGAGATTTGGGATATCGTTGATGCTCGGTGGGAGGTGCAGTTACACCGTCATCTACATGCAGCGGCATATTATCTCAATCCTCAATTTCAATATTCAGAGAAGAAATCTTCAAATCCGGAGGTGAAGCTTGTTCTATATCATTGTATGGAAAGATTAATACCGGAGCAGGTAGATAAGGAGCTTGCAGATTTACAACTTATTCTGTTCAGGAATAAAGAGGATTTTTTTGGTTTGAATGCAGCAAAAGCAACCATTTCTAAATGGTCTCCAAGTATAATTATTTGGTAAATGCAAGACACTTTATTCAGTTCTGATTATATTTTTTCTTGAAAACAGTTGAATGGTGGATCCAGTTTGGTGATTCCACCCCTGAGTTATAGAATTTTGCTGTAAGAGTGTTTGACCTCACTTGTTCTTCTTCTGGGTGTGAGCGAAACTGGAGTACATATAGTCAAGTGCAAACAAAGAGAAGAAATCAGCTATCTACACTCAGAATGAACTCCCTCGTATATATAATGCACAACAAGAGGTTAAGAGATAGGAGGTTGAGGAATAAGGGGTTGAAGGATGATGAGGACCCTTTGGTGTGTGATGATGTGTCATCTGATAATGAGTGGTTCATAGATGATGAGACAGATTTGCCATTATCAGACTTACAGCTAGAAGATCTAAATGTGGATGTCTTGAGGGGCGAAGCAGATCAAGTAGGCACATCTACTAATACCACACCACACACATCCACTAGCAGTGCAGCACAACAATCAAGTAAAGGTATTCCAAAACTTCTTATATGCTATCACAGTATATTTATATCAAGTGAGCAATTAACATGCTAATGATCTTTTCTTTTATTGAACATGGTAGAGAAAAGTGAGTTATATTGAAGATGATGATGACATGACTTCATAAATACAATTGGAGAAGAAGATTCACTTGAAGACCCATTTAGTGATGGGATATGATTGCATTTTATATGTTAATTGTACTTTGGGAGTTTTGTTGAACTAATATTTTGTGATTTTGTACTTTGGGTTATGATTTTATTGCATCTATTTTCTTACTTTTCACTATTTTCATATATCATTTAAATGTTTTTATTGTAAGATACAATATTGCTATTATTTTCTTGCTAAAACCCTTAATTTTTCATTTACGCAATTCTATGTCCGTGAGACTTACGCCTCAGACCGCCTCGAGGCTTACGCCTCGCCTCACGGATGAAAACCGCCTCGAGGCTTAATCACGCAATTTTAAACCTTGCTGAAAGATAGACATCTCAAATTGCAAAATCAAGGAAATATTGAGAATGAAATTGACCCTTTGCTTATTGATGAGCTACAATCTGATGATGAATGAGTTACTCCTAAGAATACTGATGTATCTGAAGTTGAAGCAGAAGGAGAAAGTCATGTCAATGAAGAAGACAATGACGCAACTACCCAAGTATATAAAAGAAAGAAACAAAGTGAGATTGGAACTTCAAAAAAATTTAAAGGTATTCTTAAATATAATGAATTATTTTGTATGTTACTATTGTTTCATTTTAGAGCTAACGATAGGAGATAACGGAAAAAATATTATAGATGAAGAAGAAGAGTTGGAGGATGACTTTGACATTAATTATGAAGATTATTCTGAAGACAATCAAAGTGATGATGAGTCTGCTTTGGGTCTTGATCCTAAGGGGATGTTTTATTTTTAAGTGAGTTTATTTTAAATCTTGTATTCCAGTAATATTATCTTAAAACAAATCTTCAAATTCATAGTTAACATAATATTTTGTTATTTTTTGTCATTTATAATTTTAAATTAATTTATTTTAATCATTTTTTGAGGCTTACGCCTTGAGGCTTATGCCTCGCCTCGCATAGAAAAAACACCTCGATTCCCGATTTCGCCTTTTAAAACCTTGAAATAAAGTATTAGCAATTATAAAATCATAAGCTAGAATAAAATTACCACATTCATTAGTCACTCTAAACCCATAGCCTCCATGATTGATTTTAAAATTCTCTACCTCTCTATCAATATATTCATTTAAATCTCCTTCAATAAAAACTCTTTCTTCAAGAGGTGTCTTCTTTATTAATTCTTCCAAGTTATTCCAATATTTTAATTTTGAACACATCCAAACCTATTTGAGGAGCATAAATACTTATAATATTAATAATAAAATCATCAATAATAAACTTCAAAGCTATAATTCAATCTACAACTCTATCAATTTTTACAATATTATCCTTCAAACTCAATATATGATCACACATACACCATTTCTAGTACAAATTTTACTAGAGTACAAAAATTAAAATCATAAATTATCAATCTCCTTAACTTTCTCTCCAACCGATTTAATTTTTTGAATGCATAAAATATTTATCTTCCTATGAATCATAATATCAAATAATTTCATTAATTTGTCTGTAAGGGAACCTACCTTTCAATATCCTATCAAAATGCTAGTTTCATGGACTAGCTTTTTTGCCCACATCCGTCCATGGTGTGGGAACCCTTACTTAACACTACTACATCTGGGTACCGGTGCAACGGCTCTTGCACACTTCTCGGTATATTTAGGCGATACAACACATCGCTTTCAGGGAATGCCCTAGCATTAACACAATATATTAAATGAGTTATGTCATGATTATTCGACAATTTTTTCAATGGTTATCAACTACCTAACGCAACCCTCCACTTTTTCTCATCCAGAACTTCAGACATGACAATGGCAGTGTTCAGAAGTTTCCTATTCCTATGTTTATTAATTAGCTAAACATGCATTCTAGGAATTTACTTATCAGATGTATCTACTTTTGTTCCTTACCTATCAAGCATATTAAGTGATTCATCAGTTTTGACGTAGATAGTCATAAATTTCAATAGTGTATTGGTCTTCTGGGATATGAATCATCAACGAATAAGTTTCACATTTATCTCACTCCAATCTTGCAATAAGTTTCTTTATCATTCTTTGAACCACTTTCCTACCTCAGGCCCTATCTTTCTCCCTCAGGCCACCCTTTTGTGATTCATGAGATCCTTTTATGGCCTAAATTGTGGAGAAAACGAGAAGTCTTGCTTGTAAATTCATGAAATAAAAAAGTACAAAAGATATGCTTTACTATTCCTCCTTATGCAGTGCCAATTTTATTACTCTCTGTAATGTTTTAAGGCATGTTATGAATGCAACAAATGATTGATCGTTTTAAGTCCTGTTCTGCTCTAGTTTTAAGTATGCACACGTGATTCTTAAGGATAGGTACTTGTAAACATAGACCATGCCCTTATTGTCTTCTTATATATTCGTGCACATCTATAGTAGGCTTATAGTTGTCAAGGTTAATAGCAAGTTTCCATGGGATCTCTTCAGGCAATTCATGCATATGAATAATGGGTAGTGTGAAAAGATATGGTGCACATAGAAGTAATGACACATTCTTATATAGCTGCTAATGGGCAGACAAGATAATTCCAAGAAGAACTAATGATGAAAACTAAAATGAATATTTAAAAAATTTCATAAAAATTTCTTCTGAGAATATAAGCAAACCACACATATATGTAATATAAATAAAACTTAATATATTTTATGAAAAAACAACATCTTTAAAGAAAAGTAATCAAAATAACTTAAAGATCAGAAGTGATGAATTATATGCCTTTAGATCAACCAGATAAATAGTTTTCAATTTCAGATTTTTTAAGATAGTTATCATTAAAATAAATTCATGTTCATTTAAATTGACTTGCTCAACAAGGTTTCTTTTATAAGTAAGTAAATCAAGAAATCAAGAACTAAAAATAAAATTGCAGTCAGTAGTTGGTGATTCATCATCTGGGTAGAATCAAAATATGCTTTCTCAGGAATTATATTATTACATTGTCCAGTAATGACTTTGGCATGCAGTAACAACAACATGTGATTTAGAGAAAGCATATGATAAAACTCCAAGAGAAGTGCTATGAAAAGTTCTAGAAAAGAAAAGAGTTAATAATGTGTATATTCAAGTCATTAAAGACATGCATACATGAGTTGTTACTTGTGTTCAAACATAAGGTGGTTTGACCAAATATTTTCCTATTTCTGTAGGATTACATCAAGGGTCATCTTTAAGCCCAAATATTTTTGCTTTAGTCATGGATAATCTTACTAGAAATTTGCAAGAGGATGTACCCTACTATATGCCTATTGCTGATGATCTTCTTGTTGATAAGACTAAAGAGGGAGTCTAAGAAAAACTTGAATTATGGAGGTCAACCTTAGAATCTAAGGGTTTTTGTTCGAGTAGATCTAAAACAAAATACATGAAGAGTAATTTAGTAGTAATTGATCTAGTGGTGGGATTATAATATTCAGTGATCAAGTCATTAAAAAAGAGTGCACGTTTTAGATCACTCGGGCCTATTGTTCAAAGTGATGGTGAAATAGACGAGAATATTATTAGTTGAATTCAACTTGGATGGTTGAAGTGGAGGAATGCATTGAGCCTGTTGTGTGAAAGAAAAATACCCCTCAAACTTAAGGGAAATTTTTATAAAATGGTGGTGAGACCTGCAATAATTTATAGGGCAGAATGTTGGCCATTAAAAGAGAAGCAAAAATTAAGTGTTGCAGAAATGAGGATGCTCGGGTGGATGAGTGGTTTTACACTTAGAAATAGAATGTAAAATGAATATATACATGAAAAGGTTCGAGTAACTCCAGTGGCAAATAAGATTAGAGGGAGTTACCTTAGATGGTTTGGTCACATAAAATGCCAGCCTTTTGATGACCCAATTAGGAGAGTAGATGTATTAGATACAGTCTGAAAAAGACTTGGTTAGAAAGTATTAAAAATGACATATTTTATTTGATTTAAATGATAATTTGACACTTAATAGGACACAATGTTGGAAGAAAACTCATGCAGCCGACTCCACGTAGTGGGATAAAGGCTTATTATTATTTTTGCTGCATAAGAAAATAAGAATTAAATTAAATTAATGGAGATCAACAATTAGATTCACAAAAAATATAAGATAATTTTTCCAAGTTCAAAAGTTCGGAATATATTTAAGTGAACCAATCAATTTTGTTATGTTCATCATCCTTATGACCATTGGTAAATTAACTCGATCAATTTACATTAAAATTCCAGAGACAAACACAACAAACTCCTAAATATTGAATTCTTAATTTCTTTACTTGAGTTGTATTATCTTGTGCACCTGAGCTTTTCTCCAAATGACCAATCCTCCAAGTTGTTCAGTGAAACCAAACCTCCTCAATGGTGTTTGAAGATGAATATCCAAAAAGAAGATATTAACCAAACCATTATATGACACCACACAGTGTTGGTTATTATTAAATCAATAGTAAGCTACACATAAATCACATTGGTTCATAGGATCAATAAAAGCATGCTGAGCAGTGAAGAGATAATAAACATTTCCCAAAAATATTTAGGAGGATGATTGGTTCGACTATAATGAGGACAAGGAGAAAAGACATGGCAACCACAACAACAATTGCCAACACGTTGTCAACTTCCATAACCACCCCTAGAAGTAGTATCCAATACAAACTAGTCAAGAGGAAAGGTTGCTTGGAAAAGAAGACATAACGTTAAGAACCATAGACTCTGCTATTAATTAAGATTGCACACTTTATAGAGAGAGATATAGAAATGCAGGTAAATTTGGTCACAAAATTATCATTCTGGTTGTACCATATAGTTGAATCAATAATTAAGTTGCAATAATAAAGAAACTTGTTCCATTTTCGTGTTGAGACACGAACCATAATTGTAAAGAAAATAGAGGGATCAAGACTATTGAACCAAAAATAAGATTAACGTAGTCATACTCATGCCACTTTGCAAGCTTAATGGTATAATGGCAATGTGAATTGGTATCCATGTGATAAAGCTTGTCAAAAGAACTAACAAGACAAAGATGGGAGATGATTTGCATAAAAGAATTGATGTTGATATTGATGGTGGAGAGTTTTCAGTAATTGAGAGAGAGAGAGAGAGAGAGAGAGAGAGAGAGCATTGGATGAGCACAATGGAGAGCTTAGAGGAAAGATGTTTGAAGTAGAATTTGGTCGAGGGGCAATAAATTAGCATTGTGCCAGTGGAAGAAGGCTAAGCACATGAGAGCATAGAGCATGGAAAGAGTGCATTGGATGAGCACAATGGAGGTGCAATATTCAGGTGGCTAGCGGGTGCAATATGCAGTTGATTAGCAGGAAGCAATTTAACGGGGTTGCAAGTGCGCAATGTGTTGTGGGTGCAACTAAATGCAGGCGTGTGAGGTATAATGCACAAGACCAACTAAGGCTAGGGTAAGGCTATGGGTAGAAAAGGCAGAGGGAAGATTGAGTCGATTGGAGAAGAAAGTGATAGGGTTGCACTATCCCCATTATGATATCCTATTACAGGAAATATGTCTTTTATTATGATTGTTATTCACTAGAGAATCCTCTATTCATAATAGAGAAATGAGTATTGTATTCCAACGAACACCCAAATAATCATACACCACTTGCCAAATACAATTTTCTTTCATAATGTGATATTTTCCTATGGTAACAATATGCAAACTGAAATATATTGTCATTCAGCTATAAGCCTGAAACAATGTGCACAGAGCATTTCAGCCCAAACACCCACAACCCACATTGCTTACTGAACTTTTCAGCTCAACATTAGGTTTCCCAAATAACACCAACAAATAACCCGTCAGCAAGTTCTACCTATAGCTTTTCAACAAATAGGTTTTCAGACAACATTTAAACAGCGTATGCTAAATGAAGTCTAGGTCTCAATTCATTATCCTGAACTGGCAATGTAGCATTACTAGCATTGTATCTTATAATATCAAAATAAAAGTAAGCATTAAATATTTAAATGTCTAGTACAACAACAACAACAAAAACAAAAACATAAATTGTCCAGCAGATGAAGTTTTTAATTAAAAGTACAAAGGATTGACACAATTAATCCACATGAATTTGAAAAATGAAAATTTTTAATAAAAAGTATAGATATGTTGCACCTCTGCCGGGGGTCCAAGGGAGCGTTGCCCCCTGGCGGGGTTCGACTGCTTGGCACGGCCCCCTGAACAAATTTTCATTGTAAGAGTTGCTTTAAAGTTTTCTCTACCTTCTCGGCATTGCTTGGTACCATTCGGTACCCCTCTGTACCGAGCAGTACCAAGCGGTACCGAGTTCTGGTACCGAGTGGTACCGAATTCCGGTACCGAGCGGTACTGAGTTCTAGTATCACTCGGTACCGAGCGGTACCAAGCAGTACTGAGCAGTACCGAGCGGTACCGAATACCGAGCAGTACTGAGTTCTAGTATCGCTCGGTACCGAGCAGTACCGACAAGTACCGAGCGGTACCGAGTACCGAGCAGTAATGAGTTCTAGTATCGCTCGGTTCCAAGTGGTATCGAGTAGCACCGAGTAGTACCGAGTACCAAGCGATACGCGTGTCCGATCAAATTTAAATAATATTTTAATTGGACATGGCAAAGCCGTATCCGTGCCATATCGGAGGCGTATCCATATCCGACATGTATCAGATACAACATGCCTCATAAATAGGTGTATCCGTGCAACATAGCTTAAACCAAAGAAAAACGCTCAAGATAAAGCTGAATAAACACCAATGAGCAGATTTTCACACCTTGAGAAATGATCCTATAGCAACTTCGCAATATCACCGGTCATCTAAGTTTTAAAATGTTTCATAAACTCAATAAGCTAAGCATATCGAACCCTCCTAAAGAGCTAAGCATATCGAACCCTCCTAAAGAGCTATGAATGTCCATTTGTATGGTCCCCTTAATCCTAACATTCCAAGCACAGGTCAATCGGCTTTGAAAAACCCATCATTCTGTTCAAGAAGTGCCATAAAAACAATATGAATATTCTGATCCAGACAATCCACTAGCTTAGATGTGTAAAATATTTCAATGCAGCATGACTACGTAGAAGAGAACAATACTGATTAATTGCATATCCAGTTAAAAATATTATGTAACATTAAACTCGAAGAGAAAAATGAAATATTAAAACATAAAACTGAGTCCCCCAGGAAGTTACAGCATATATAATTATGAAGTTTTCATCAAAATTCTACTATACATAAGTTGGCTACGGAAAAAGGTATCTGACCATTTATTTGGATTATTGACAAATGTGTGATAAAACTTCACTCCTATCTGAAATGAATTTACACTTTAGAAGTGAGAACAATCTTTTCCTGTATATATATAAGCACAGAGTGATATTTTAAGAGCCTTCATATGCATAAAAAAAACTACTCACTTGTAGTTTATGATTATCTCCAAGAAAAAGAGGCCGTTGATTAACTCCCAAATAAAATATACATTCCCGGCAGTTTGCAATACAAATGCGTTTAGCAGCAGCAATCAGTTGTACCCTTTCACAGTGCTCCACTCTTACGTCCTACAGAGAGGAAAATGCAGCTGCTTAAACAATAAGAATTTATATGATTTTCATAAACCTTATAAGAATAAAAACAAATAAGTTTCTCCATTAACTCTAGGAATATGTTTTCACATGAAAAAAAAAATGTAAAGTTGCTTGAGAATGTGAAACAAAAGTTAACTTGAGTCTCCTAAGTTCAGTTATTTATTAAACAAGCTTGTGACACTATATGCAACAGAGGATATAGTTCATCAATCTATCTCAAGAAAACCTTTTCTTGCTAATTTGACGACTGTCAAATGTCTCAAAAGGGCAAAATGCCATTTTTAATGAAGTTTAAAGGCAGCCAAATTGGTAGCTGAGTGCTGAAGTTGGAGAAAAAATGTGCCCATCCACACATCCTTTTTTCTATTTTCAATATGTAGAAAAAGCAGGTAGTTGAGTGCTGAAGTTCATTTGAACCAATGAGTCCAGCAAAGATTAATCATATTAGTTAAGTGAAAAATTGGAAGATTGGAAGTTTTATACGAGATAAACCATAAGATTAGGCCTATTTAAAATAAAACTGCATGTTCAGTTATGAAGCTGCTACAAATATGTAACTGTAAGGCACGATGCACAGAAAGATTGATTTGGTTGTAGTAAACATTATAATGAAACATTCTGCCCAACACTAACACAAAACAACATGCACGTTAAGGAAATCACGAAATATTTTACGTACCTTACCAATAGCACCAAGAACAATAGTTGCATCAGAACAGCCATTAACAATAGCATATTTCACGGGTGCTAGTAAATATATCACTGAATCATGGCAATTCAAAATCTGCAGAACAATTTGATGAGATGGTTAAAAACACTAGCACCAATTGTTTCATAAATCAATTAGAACAAGGGAAGCTCAACAGTGACATCTAAAATGAATTATTTTGCCGATTATAATAGCATATGTGGCTTCTCCCCAAGCCATCCAAAGGGGAACATGATGGTTAAAAATTCACAAATAATAACTATCAATTTTCAGTTATTTGCCAATAGATAGGGAAAACTAGTTTTATTTTTTCGACAGCATAAAAGCTAACTGATGAGAACTACTGGGCCGAACTAGAATGGTAATGGACAGCAAAACCATTACAGATATTTGTAGGAATAAATGCTTCGAATAAAAAGTTAAAACTGAAAAAACTATATTAGTTTTATACAAAATAATGATTTTTTTCTCAATTAATAAAAGAGTAGGATGTAACAGCTACATCGTCTACATCACTTCCTATTGTCTAGGTGGTAACACATTAATTTGGATATCGTTAGGTTTTTGCTTTTAAGGATTCAGATAATGAAAACATACATGCTAAGATTTGTAGCAGCTTGAGGTAGAAACAAATAGGAGGTAACTTGGTTATTTCTTCTTCTTTTTTCCTTTTTTTTTTGTTTTAAGGATTCAGTTAAAGAAGGCATACATGGTAAGAATCATAGCAGCTTGAGGCAGAACCAAATTGGAGGACCTTGCTCTTTTTCTTTTTATGAGAACGTACATGCTAAGAATCCTACAAACTTGACATAGTGCCAAAAAGAAACCCTTTTTTTAATTGTTCTTCTCAACCAATTAAAATAGGAAGCTACCTTGTAGTAAAAATTATTTCTGAGTTCTTGGAAATGGGGTGATTACGCTTTGATGATGAGTTGAAAAAAAGGGGGTGAAATTGAGCTAGCCAGCTCTTGATTATTTCTCACTTATTACAACATTTCTCCTGTACCTAATGGTTTAATATCCAGCTACCTATGATGCACCGACACGGACACGACACGACACCGACAAGGGACACGGCAATTTTTTAAAATATAGGACACGGGTGCGGCGTGGACACGGCATAATATTTTTTTAATATAATATATAATAATTTTTAAAAATATAGGACACGAACACGGCGTGGACAGATGGCTCTTTTGAACCTTCACCTAATCCGCCCCCACTAGTAGCAGAGCTTATTTTGCTAACAAACCAATCATACATATGAATACACCAAATTAAATTGATATGAAGTGAAATCAAAATATCCCAATAATAAGACAACATGAATACAACAATATACCAGTCTGCCGGGGGTCCAAGGGGGCGCTGCCCCCTGGCCGAGCGGTACCGAGCATGTACCGAGCGATACCGAGCAATACCGAGAATGTACTGAGCAATACCGAGCATGTACTGAGCAATACCGAGCATGTATTGAGCGCTACCGAGCATGTACTGAGCGGTACCGAGCATATACTGAGCAATACCGAGCATGTACCTAGCAATACCTCATTTAATAACAGGACACGCGTGTCCGACATGCGTGTCCGATTTTAATTTTAATTTTTTTAATTGCGACACTCCAATGTCATGTCGGACACGTGTCCATACCGTGTCTGACACGTGTCTGTGTCCAACACTGCATACCCTCTCTAAGTGCCGTGTCGGTGCATCATAGCCAACTACTAATAATCTTGTGTGTATATGTTTTATCAGATTTTTACACATTTGGAGTTTAAGCCTGTTGTCTCTTTATGATCTCACATCTTGCAGCTTAAATTTCACTTATGAAAAATTTATCAATCAATTCAAACAGATCCGTATTTCCTCTATTTGTCTAGTATTAATATTAATATAATGACTAATTATCGTTCTTGGATAGTTTGTTTCATTATAAATATTTGAATGTTTGAGTTTTCATCTATTTGGCTGAATATTGTTCTACATAATTGTTATAGATTTGTACCAAATATTTTCTGTTTGCTTAGCATCTTCTCATTACATAACTTTGCATATAGGACACCTTAAACCTTGATACATCCTGCAAAGGGGACCCTATTGGATGCCTATCTTCCCCTCACTCCAGTAAAAAAAATTTATGTTTCCGTAGGATTTCCCTTCACAGCGCTAAAACTAATAATCCCTAAATTTTTAATGCAGTGAATATTGGCTAAAATTAAAAACTCCTAACCTTTTAATGAGGTGAATATTGGACTGAAAATAGAAACTATGTCTCAACATGAATATATTGTTTAGCCAAGCTTGAGAATTAGGATTCTACAACCAGGAAGTCAAAAATATATGCTTACTCGAAAGACATGTACTGGATCTAGTAAGAAGGTTATCCTTAATTTGAATGTCTCATCAATGAATTTCCACTTCTAGCTATACAAATACAAGCACGTTAGCTTAGCTCAAGAAACAATGAGTTGAAACTTTTGCAATGCTTGTTGATATGCAAGTGAATGAATCCCCATGCACTTGAGAGCTTCAAAGTTATTAAAGGTGCAACAAATAATGGCTTCTAAATGAAATAAGTCTTTCATGGGAAACTTAGGATCAAACACCACAAGGCAGGACTCTTAGGAAGAATTGAACTTCAATAAAGAAGGCTAGGTTGGACTTCAAAAGAATAAGCAAATAGAATGCTTGCTACTGGGAACTGATTCTAAAGCCTCCAACCATTGTTCCTAAGCATGGGAGGGAGGCATTTTAAAAAGAACTCTCTACCAGAACAACAGCTAAGGGAAGTGGCTCAAGAATTGCCAAGGAATGAAAACAATCCCGCCTCAACAGTAACTTTCGCAACCAAAGAATGACAACAGTTGGGGGAATGAAAAAAACTGGGTGTCCGCACGTAGATGGGTGGAAAGAAAAGGAAGGTCACATCTCTCTGGAATACATGCATGCATAAATTTGTGTCTATAACCCTCTATCGCCAGAGAGAGAGCAGTTAATTTCCATTTGTGGAGAAAATGTTGCTATCACACAAATAAGTTCTTGTGAAAGAACAATTAAATAAGATCAAGAGTACTAGAACGGGAAAAACAATTTATGGTGACCAAATTTGATCCATTTGTGAATAAATGGATGTTGGGTAATGCCCTTCACCAAAACTACTTCTTTCATACTTCTATTTTGTAGCAATCAATTATATACAACAAAGAATATATATCCCCAAACACAAAAAAGCCAGTCATTGAGTGCCAATCCTACATTTTTTGAAATTTTCCATTTTGTCATGTCCATGCAATCGTAACATAGCCTCCTCTAAGTGTTCATGCAACATGGCATTTGAATTTAAAGTAAAAATTAAGGATTTCGGCACAATTAGTATAGGACACCCAAACAAATGATTCAAGTACAAAATGCCTCCACAAAACCAACGAAGTGTGAGCACAACTAGATCCAGTTAAAAGAATTTAAAAGGCTAGGGATAAAGACAGCAACAACTGGCAAAGGATGTAGTGTTCTACTGGAAAGCCAGCCTTTCTGCCAAGGATGCCCCATTTTTCAACCCAGGCAACAATCATCCAGCTCCATTAGATAAAACACTTCTACAGTATCCTCCACTGCTCAGCATCTCCACTAATCCCCCACCATTGCCACTCAGATTTAGAACTATCTCCTCCAGCAATAGGCAACACACTTTGATTACTGGAACTAAAAAATTGATGAGATCTAGATAAATGTCATCAGCAATCCTCAGCTAAAAGGCTAGGGATAAAGACAGCAACAACTGGCAAAGGATGTAGTGTTCTACTGGAAAGCCAGCCTTTCTGCCAAGGATGCCCCATTTTTCAACCCAGGCAACAATCATCCAGCTCCATTAGATAAAACACTTCTACAGTATCCTCCACTGCTCAGCATCTCCACTAATCCCCCACCATTGCCACTCAGATTTAGAACTATCTCCTCCAGCAATAGGCAACACACTTTGATTACTGGAACTAAAAAATTGATGAGATCTAGATAAATGTCATCAGCAATCCTCAGCTAAAAAATTTCAGGCGTGTCAGCTTCCAAAATTGAGTTCTATTCCTAAAGACAGTTAAGTGCTTACTCTAAGAAAATGAATTAAAGACTAAGAATAACTGATTTGGAGTGTCACAAAGAATACAAGTTTTAAATAACTAGGCATTTTACAAGGATCTGTTTGGGGTCACTTTCATCTTTTGTTTTTATTTTTGTGTTTAAAAAGCAAATCTATTTAGTCTGTTTTCAACTGAAATTATTGTTTATTTTTAAAAATAAATCAGAGTTATTTTAAAAAATGATTAAATAACTTTGAAATATTTTAAATGTTTTAAAATAAATATCACAACCAGCCACCACTGCCGCCATCGTCACCTACCACCGTCATCGTTGTCCTGCATATGACCGCTGCCACTATCACATGAATAAACTTATTCAATGTTCAATAAAAATAAAGTTAATATATTTTTAAGATGCCAAACATGTTTTATTTTATGTACATAAACAAAACTAAATAAAAATTAAAAACCAAAGGTGATCCGATGTGGCCCCATAACTTCTCTCTGCTTAAAATTTTAAACTCCTTCAATTTGAACTGATACAGAAGTTACTGAGCATGCAAGGGTTGTCAAAAGAATGAAACAACAACAAGCCTTTATCCCACTATGTGGGGTCGGCTACATAAATCCTTTTTCTCCATTGTGTTATGTTAAAAGTCAAATTCTCATCTAAATTTCTAATATTTTCTAACCAAGTCTTTTTAGGTCTACATCTACCTTTCTTAACATAAGTCAAATCTAATACATCTACTTTCTTAACTGGGTCATCGAAAGGTTGTCGTTTTATATGACCGAACCATCCAAGACAACTCTATCTAATCTTATCTTCCACTGGAGCTACTCCATCCTTTTCACGTATATGCTCATTTTGTATCCTATCTCTAAGAGTAAAGCCACTTATCCACCTGAAAATCCTCATCGTTGCAACACTTAACTTAATATTATGATTTTCTTTGAATGACTAACATTCTGCACCATAAAGCATTGTAGGTCTCACTACCATCTTATAGAATTTTCCCGTAAGTTGGAGAGGGGCTTTTCTATCACAAAACAAACCATTCCTCCACTTCAACCATTCAACTTGAATTCTGGTGGGGGCAAGAAATATAGGGATGCCTATACCCCTCGCCCGCACAAGAGAGATGCTGGGACGACACAACAATGAAAAGACCCGACTTGAGACGAAATTCAAGATGAGAAGAGAGAAGAGAATAAACTCTTACATTTCAAATTTGACATAAATAAAAACTTACAAACTAGACTCCAAATAAAATAAAAAGACACCCTAAAGTTGCTGCACTTAGAGAAGAAGAATACAGGTGGAGTGGCACTTACGGAGAGACGAAAGAGGTTAGAAGCCCGAGAAGAAAGGTTGGAAAGAGCCCGCAGGATTTCCGGAGGGGATGAGAAAGAAGGGTGGAAAGAGCCCC